ATTTTTTTTATCTGATGTTTGCTTGAATTCCTAAGTATTATTAATTTAAATATAATTACGTAAAAGTCTTGCCATAATTACATTCATTCTAATTGATATATGTATGTATGTAAGTAGTCTTAAACAGTAACCAACCACTAAATAGAAAACCGGGAGTTTACAGTTTTCTTTAATGAACTCATAATCACCTCCCTAAGTAGCTTCTAGCCATGAAAGTGCTGTGTGCTTAGTGAAAATAAGTCCAATGAGTGTATCATTCGCTCATTATTCACTTTTTTCGAAAGAATTACGATTTTTCAGAAATTCTAGCAATCTTTGTAAATTAAATTATTGTGACATTAATAAGAAAAATACATATTCATAAAACATAAATTTCTAAAATGGTTAACGCTCATTTATTATTATCATTAACTACCCACCTTCTGATGCGAAAACGGCCACCAAAGACCATTTTCAAATGGCTGATAGTATCCACGATGGCGGAATCCAGTTTCGTTGAATTTTAAATTTGTATTTCTTTTTTGGTTTTGCAGTTCGGTTGAGCAACCGAAAGTGCAAAGTTGAAAACTTCTTTGGCTTACTAAGTTTATTGCTTTATGCCAAATATTTTTCCACAATTTCACTGCGAATGCTGATGTGAATCACTTTGAGACACTTTTTTATACAAAATTTGCTTGGTGAACCTAAAATGGGGGTTTATCATTGCCGAATGCATTTTCCACTTTGCTGTTTTTGCTTTACTGATTATTTATGATTTATTTTGCAGACTTCGCTGTTTTAGAATTTCCGGAAAAAATTATTAAATGAAATGAAAGCATAAAAGTGCAAAATATTCCAATACATAAACAAGTTTAAAGAAATATACAAATGCAGTTAGTTATGTAAAAAAGTAGTGCTGCCACAATGTTGTGCAAAAAATGCAAATTTTGTGAAATTTTATGAATGAAGCAAAAGACTCGTGTCAAATTGTCGCAAGCAACGGTTCAAGCCAGCGGAGTTTAATGCATAAATACAGTGACAGCAATAAAAGTGGCACAATGCAAATGCAACGCTGTGCAAAGTGCAATAAAAGCCACTTAAAAATTAAAATAATAAAAAAATGCATTGACTCAACAAGTCTGTTCGGTGGTAGCGTTTTTCTTTTTTAATTTTTTTTTGTGTTTTTCCTAATTTACTAACTTTGCTTTATCTTTGTCAATGCATTTTGTTGCTGCTCAGCTGTTCGCTTGACCGCAACCAAGTGGCAGGCAGTCGCAGCAATTTGAAAAAAATGCGCATTATTTTACATTTCATTATAAACTTGTTTATGTATTTGTAACTGCTGTTGAAGTGGTTAACTTTTTTCTTTTAATATTTTTTTGGTTGATTTTTATTTTATTGATAATATGTGGAGTTCTTGTTATTAATCACTTTTTGGTGAAAAAACTGTTTTGCTTTAATTTATTGCAAAAAAAAAATGTTTTTTTACATATATATATGATATCGTTTATATAAACTTATTGTTTAGATTTTAAGAATTCGTAACGGTTAAATTTTTTATATTAGTTCTTATTTTATTTAAGTAATATTTTTACTTTTAGCCATTTAGCTTTTAGAACTAGGAAATATTATTTCTTTTTAATAAATTATTAAAAAAAAATTGTGTGTAAAAATAAAACCCACTTTTTATATAACTTTTTTTGTGTACAAGTTGTTGATCAAGTACTTTTTTGTTGCATATTTTTTAATAAATTAGTAGTTTGTTTTCACCAGAAAAAGACTGTTTTTGTTGGATCTATGGAAATATTTTTAATTTTTATTGATAAATATATTTGTATCTTAAAAAAAGTTTGCCCGTGGAATTTATTACTTTTTTGAAATAAGATTTTTTTTTTGAAAAAAAAATTGCTTTTAATATTTAGTGTGTTTTATTGAAAATCATTTTTTTTTTATTTTTTCCTATAATTTGTTGTTTTTTAATCTTTTTTTGTGAAAAAGTTAGGTGAAATAATATTTTTTTTTTAATTACTATAAAAAAAATGTTATACAATAAAAAGAAAACATTGTTTTTGTTGAACTTATGGATTTCTTTTTGAAATATTTTTAGAAGCATTTTTATCGTGTTTCTTTAAAAAACGTATTCTGCCCTTTAAAAAAATATGTTCGTTGATTTTATTAATTTCTTCTGGTAAGAGGTTTGTGTGAAATATTTTTTTAACAACATAAATTTTTGGTTTTTAAATAATTTTTGTTCAACTGTTTTAGCTTTTTAAGTTTTCTTTTTTTGCTTTTGCTTATTATGTATGTATGTATGTATTTGACGCGAGCAGGTGAATCACCTGCCTTTGGGTGTCTAACATCTGTCTCTTATACACATCTATATATTTAAGTCCTCTTATAGCATATCATATATAAATTAATAGAAACATATTTCATTTTTATATAATTTTATTTTTAATTTTTATGTGTATTTAAATTTTTTATATACTATTTTACGATTTTTTGAATTTTGAACACAAAAATTTTTTTTACACCGAATCTTGTTCTCCAAAATCCAATTTATCTACCATATATACACACACATACATATATACATATTATATTATATAAACTTTTTTTCCAGCTATTTTATTTAGTTTTCCTCTCTTTCCTTACAGGCATGACAAAAATGTCACCACCAGCAACAATAAATAGCAACAACAACATGCGCAAGGTATGTAACTAAGCAAGTTGATAATTATATTTGTTATTTTATTAGCATTTTAACAGACATTTTGCACGAAAACGTGTGGTTTTCCTTTTTGTTGTTGTCGTTGTCGTTGTTTTTGTTTCATTTTGCATTTACTTGAATTCTCGCCGTTAACGCATTTGCCAACAAACGAACATACATACTGACAATAACCAATCGTAAAAGACAAGTTAACACGCCATGCCGAATGTACGCCGTTAAGCCACGACAGACGAACGTACAGCAGCAACGGCGGCGTCGACACTGCAAGCGCATAAAAAGGGGAAAGTTGACTTTTGTTTGTTGTTGGCTGCTTTTTTAACGTTTTTTTACACTTTTTCACAAACTTATTTACATATGTACGTATGTATGCATGTATATAAACATATATATGTATATAATTGCAGTTTGCTGTTTTTGCTTGTTTTCTGGTTGTGTGGTTACTAATATGCGCCCTGACTTTGCTGGCTTAACAAAAACAATAACACAAACATGCAATTGACACGGTCACAAAGGGGAGTCTTCAGCAAAAAAGAAAAAAGCTTTTTGCACACACAAAATGCACCAGAAAGCGTAAATTATTGCAAAAACAATGGCTTGCAAAATTTCAAATACTCGGAAGAGACGGTGAAATATTATTTTTGTATAAAATATATTTTGAGAATTAATTCTGTTTTCTTTAGAACGAAAATGTATTGAAATTTGGATGTCAATAAAGTAAATTTGTGAAGTTTTTGGAGAGTAGGATATTTAAAAAATTTTAAAAATATGATAAAACACATTAGGGGTATTCACAATATGCTGCATAATAAGAGAGTTGAATATTCATAAATGTATGTATGTTACTGGAAGATTTTGAGTAAAAATATAGAAAGTTGGGATAAAGCAGTTTTCAACGTTTTTAATTAACGGAAAATGCATACCTATTACAAATTTTGAAAATAAAATAACATATTAGATACTTTTTCGGTACAAGAGAGGTAACTTATGATAAAAAATGTTTGCTAAACGATTTTGAGCCAGCAAAGTATGTATTTTTGAATTCAGAAAAAAATGATTTGCAAGGAAGTGCTGAAAATAGCTAAAGTAACTAAATAGCGGTATTCACAGTATTAATTAAATGTCAAACAAACTATTTAAGAACAGTAAAATTTCCCGAAATAAGTTCAAAATTTATGAAAAAGAATTTTAAAACCTTTAATAATTAGAAAAAAAATTCTAAAAAATTTCTATTTAAAAAAATGCATTTTTGAGGAAAATCGTTAAGGTACAATTAACCATACCCTGATTTTGAGCGATTCCAGAATCATGCTGATTTTTTTTTATACAATTTTATACAAAAAAAAATTCGAAACGATTTTGATTTGAATTCCAAAAAATTTTTAATTTTTAAAAAATGGATTTTGAGGAAAAAGGTACAACTTAATGTATCTCGATTTTGAGTGTTTTCATATTTTTTCCTGTGAAAATTACATGTTTGAAATTTTTGAATATTTACAATATTTATTATTCACTAAACTAATTATAGCAGTTTTGTTCTTCAAAGTGAGATTTGGTCATTTAAGAGTATATAAAGTGAGATAATTGGGTATTTAAAAGCATATCACCTAACCTAACTTTCTACTTGAAAAACCCAATTGTTATATTTGTATGCTGTTGGATTAGGTAAGAGTTCGATCTTAAGAAGGATTTCACTTGGTCTGCTTACATCGCTTGTATCTAAAACTTCTATATAATTGACCTTAAGCACCTTAGAAATCGATTTGAGTCTATTAAACTCAAAATCCTTTCAGCAGATCATCATGAGATTTGTGAAGGCGGTTAATTGTCAGTTTCGGCTATATGTATATCCTACTTCGCCGAAGGTAAGACTGTCGAGATGATGCAACSTCAGTCTTGCCTCAACTGGACAATGGAAAAGAAAGTGCCTAGATGCTTCCACCTCACTTTTCTCCTTAGCAGTTAGGTTCGGTTAAGTGGTCGATCCTAAAAGAGATCTCACTTCGAAAGCTTAGAAGGCTGGAACACTAATATCCACATAATTTGTAGAACAAAAAATTCACAGAAATTTTGATTTTGAATTCAAGCTAATTACAAACCAAACACTAATATTTGGTTTGGATATTCATGATAGAATGCGGGTAAAGTTTGGTGTCATAAATTGAGACGAGGTCACTTTTGAGTGTGATTTGAGTACCAAGGCGTAGTTCCGCAGCTTAAAAAACTTAATAGTTGCTTACACATAACTGGAAAATAAATTTCACACGCAAAAGTTTTTAAATTTTTTTTTTTATTATTATTATTGTTATTTTTTTAATAATAATTGTTTTTATTATTTTATTATTATTTTTTTATTTTTTTGTATAATAATTATTTTTTTTTCTAAGAAAATTAATTTGATGCTTTGTGTAATACATTTGAGCATTTCATTGTTTTAGTATACATCAATTTTTTGTAATTTTTAATTTAATATTCTATAAATATTAATATTCTATAATATAATTATTTAATATTTTTCATATTGTGATCACCACTTCTTTGTCAAAGTTAGTATTTAAAAAATGCAAATTTTATAGTTGTTTTGTTTGCACACAACACTTTTTGTAAACTTTTTGAAACATTTTTTTATTATACTATTTATAACATCATTATCAACTTTAAGTTAAAAACAACACAAGTTTCTTTTCCCATTTAATTGTTTTCCTAAAATTCTTCACAGATTTCACCAGCGCTCGCAATTAGCACTTCTTCAGTAATTTCCCCACTGTCTCGCTTAACTGTCACTGCAAAATTATATAAAGAATAGAGCGCTTACTAACTCTTCAGGCTTAAATCTGCACACCAGTATCATTAACAACAATAACAACACAGCACATGCGGGTGCTAGTATTTATTTGTACACCGTTATACTTTTGAATTTTTTTTTTTTTATAAATTTTTTATTTTGTTAGTCAAACAATTTATTGCTTTGTATTTGCAATCCGCTCGATAAACTCGACTCGAAAACTGAAATTTGTTTTTGATTAGAAAACGCGTACGCGCCGATTCGCTCGTGCAAACGCGTCAACAGTCGTCGCTCGTTTGAAATGCTAGCGACCAGAGTCAGCAAAACAAATGGCTAACAAAAAGCCAAGTTGCAGAAAAAATTCACTACTGAGAGGCAATGAGCTGGTGGTAGAGTGTATACTACTAAAGGAACTCCGAAAGGTAGGCAGAGAGAGAGAGAGAGCGCGCTTTTCGGAGTCACGCAGGTAGAGTTGAAGCATTTTTAATGGCAAGCAAATGCAGAAAAAGAAGCGCAAAGCATGCTTACTAACTAGTGGAGCTAGCGCTCGCGTTACTCGTGCTGCAGTAGTGGCCAAGCGTGCTGCATTGCAAAGAGCGGCCGAACGAGCGCTGATAAAAAACAGCATGTCAATAAACCGGCAACGAAACTCACGCGCAATGGAAGCGGTAGGTAGCCGATGAGCGGCCTACGCAGTACAAACAATTCTCTATCCATATTGCTACTAGAGAATATCTTTGCCACCGCACGAACGTTTCAATTGAGTAGAACAGAGCGCAGCGCTGTAACATACAATAACTCTCTTAACCGCATTTGGAGCGCGTTGACCGCGCGCCGATACCAAACTTTCGGAATGTAGGTGCTTAGCGGCATTTTCGTGCGACGCACGCAGTTGGCAACGCGAGTCAGTGTTTTAAAATTTTACACGCATTATTTGTGGGTTGTTGCTGAATAAAACATTGCGTTGTTGAAGTAAAAGTGACAATATTTCTTATGCTGCATGTTAAGCACACGATTGGTGAAATATGCAAAACGAACGAAAATAGCTGCCGAAACCGGCAATAAAAGCTAGTAGTGCACAAATATTTTCAACAAAATTGTTTGCAGAATATTTAAACTAAACATAATGGACGTTGTTGGCACCTGCCGTAAAGTTCAATGGATGTACTTTTTATACAATAAAAACGAAACACATAACAATTTGCATGAATTCATTGTCAAAGAAAGTAAAATGATACCGCAAAGCGTTTTAAATGTGGAGCTTTAATGGGGCTATTAAGATGAAAGCTTGTTTGTAGCTTAGTTATATGATGCACCTGTTTCTACGCAAAATTTTGGTCAATTAATGGAGTTTAGAAAATTCTAATGATCAAAACTTGAACTTCACTATTTTCAAGACTTCAGTTGAAGAGCTTTCTGGGCTTCAACCCAGCTTTACGGACTTAAACCCAAGATGCCAATAAAATTTGAAGTTAATTTAATGTTTTTGAGAATCTAAATAGATCTTAAAATTTGTGTAGCTTTTTGAGCTTTCACCGAATTTTAAACTTTTTAAGCCTTAACCGAGCTTTATGATTTTTAAATTTGATGACAATTTTATGGGAGTATCTAAATAAAACCATAAAGTTGTAAAGCTTTTTGAGCTTTAACCAAATTTAACTTTAATATTTAATACTTAAAGGAATCCCCGACAAAGTTTGAAATAAATTTAATGACTATTCTTCTTCAAGAGTCTAAATAAGTCTAAAGATGTGTGTAGCTCTTTGAGCTTTCATTAGCTTTAACATTTACAGTTTTTATCTGAGATTTAAGATAAACCCATAAAGTTGATGAAATTTTTAAGCTTTACCAAGCTTTACGATTTTGTTGGATGATCTAAATACACTAAGCTTTAAGAAATTTAAGGAATCCGAGGATCCAAATAAACCTATTAAGTTATGTAAAGCTCCTGAGCTTTAACTAAGCTTTACGAACTTTAAGGAAGTATAGTTAAAATTTCTATATCTAAGTAACTAAATCTATAAAGTGAAAGGCCTTCTGAGCTTTTGAAAAACTTTGCAAACTTTGGGGAAATTTGATGACAGTTTTCAATCCAATAATCTAAAGGAACCTATAAACGTGTAGAGTTTTCTATGTTTTACGAACTTTCGAAAATCACAGACAAAATTTTATATTTTAGTAAATATTTCAGATGAGGTAACGGGAAGCAGGATTCTATGGTTTCTATATAATCTTTTAAAGCTCTGTTCGGCAGAGCTTTGTCGTGTCCGTGTAACGATGTAATGAACAATTTACAGATTTCTTAATGAGCTTTCATATATTTGGAATGTCACGATCTTTGTCGTGTCCGTGTAACGATGTAATGAACAATCTACAGATTTCTTAAAGAGCTTTCATATATTTGGAATGTCACGATTGTGTAGTGAGTTTGACTTTTCCGTTTTAATAAGATTTTCAACTATATGCTTATTATGAAGTATATGATATAATGGATCGTTATCAAAGCCTTAATCTTTTTTCCAAGAACTAGTTCTCAGAGCTCTCTTGCCAAACAGGCGCTACTTCGGATTGAGTAGGCAATTGAGAAGCAAAGTTCTCTCTCGACGAACAAAAACCAAACTCTATAAGTCACTCATAATTCCCGTCCTGCGATATGGTGCAGAAGCCTTTGCGCATTGGCCACGGCGAATATCGCATTCGATGGAACGATGAGCTATATGAGATATATGACGACATTGACATAGTTCAGCGAATTAAAAGACAGCGGCTACTCTGGCTAGGTCAAGTTGTTTGGATGGACGAAAACACTCCAGCTCTGGAAGTATGCGACGCTGTATCCCGCGGGGGGAGCAGAGGAAGAGGAAGACCTCCACTCCGTTGGAAGGACCAGGTGGAGAAGGTCCTGGCTACGCTTGCAATATCCTATTGGCGCCACGTAGCGAAAAGAAGAAACGACTGGCGCGCTGTTGTTAACTCGACTATAATCGCGTAAGCGGTGTCTACACCAATTAAGAAGAAGAGTTAAGAAGAAGAGTTCGCAGAGTTTTCGTTACGGTATATGTTGTAACTAGTACTAGAAACAAATATTTATGAAAGACATTGTGATTTTATCAGGCATTCTACTTCACATGAAAGCTTTAAGTTTAAGCGTACGAGCCATTAGTTTTAGGAGAACTAAAAAAAATATGAAAACGATTTGCTTTCATTCAACCAAAAAAAAAAAAAAAAAAAAAAAAAAAAAAAAAGAAAAAAAAAAAAAAAAAAAAAAAAAAAAAAAAAAAAAAAAAAAACAAAAAAAAAAAGGCAAGCAAAACTCAAATATAATAGAATATTCTCACTGCTGTGGATAAGTTCCGAGAGCTTTCATTGTGACAGAGTAGCACGGCATATCAAATATATTGCTGTTTTTAAACAAAAATCGTTTAATAAAGCATGCGCATATAAACATTTTTCTTAGGAGAGCTTTTGAAAAATTTTTTTCATTGGAGATCTTTTTTGGAAAACTTGTGAATAAATAAATTATAAATTTAATATTAAAATAGATAATTCACTTAACAGGTAAAGTAGTTAGGAATATTTTTGTTCTTAATTATCTGAATGTCAAAAGCTGTCAGACCTGAGCTTTTAAGAGCTTTAGCAAATATAAGCTTGTAGATAATAGAGAACTTGCTGAGATGATTATTGATTAACTACACGACCTCAGACTCCAAAATCGAAAGTAGAAATATATAAATTTCTGAATTCTAGAAAAAAGTTTTCGAAACCTTCGACGCTGCTGCTTTTAGGCATTGTAGTTTGAATCACAAAATTTCAGAAGTAATGCATACCCAATACGTTTCGGCGCACAATTGCCACAATCAGAGGAATTTACGCCAATTAGAGAGATTTCAACACTGTTTTCGTAGTAAAAGCTAACAAATTGCATTAACGAAGCGTAAGCGTTTATCAAAGTCGTTAACACTCAAAGTTGTTTTTTGTTGTACTAATGTTGTTGTTGACACTCGAACAATTTTCCCACTACTACGGAAGTCCTAACACCAATTTTGAATGCTAACAAAAGCGGATGATCGTCGCGCATGCGCTCACAAGCGACTTGTAAAAGCGCAACAACAACAACAACAACAACAGTTGCTAATCAATGCGGAAATCATTTGCATTGTTCGACACACGTCGCCCGATCAACCGAAAAAGAAATCAAGCGAAATGTTGTTGCAATTTGCGTCTAATATTTTATCGTTTTGTTGTTGTTCTTGCTCACGCATTGCGTGCCTACATTTGGCACGTCGGCTACCACGGCAATGCCACAGTGTCGCTCTTCTACGTTTTTTGTTTTGCTTGCCACACTAACTTGTGTGGCATCTGCCATCATGTGGCATGTTGCAGCATGTGTTGCATGTAGCATATCAACACATTTCGCCACGCTGTCGTGCAATAAATTTCATAACAAATTGCTAATACCACAGTAATGTTGTCGCATTCGTTCGAAATGTTGCAACATGCTGATGAGCAACATGCTGATTAGCGCCGCAGTGGCTCAGGCACATACGTATGTACATACAAATGTGTATGGCGGTTGTTAGCGTTGTTGTTGGTGTTGCTACTAATGCGGACCACCGCTGGGCGACTGTCCTGGCGACTGTGTCTGTTGTGCGACATTGATTGAATTTGCTTAGATTTCGCATTGCTCATAAAATCGTTGATATGTGGCACTAATGACAGCCAATTTGTTTGGTTTTCCTTTTCTTTTTCGCTCTTCTTCTGCTTTGTGTTTTTTGTGTGTTTGAATTTGCTTCTGAATATATGTATAAATGCCGCATATTTATTTGGTATGGGAAAAAGAGCTCATGGGCAAGTGTACAATGGATCCATAGATAAATACATGTGTATGTACATATGTCAAAACTTATGCAACAGTAATTATGTAAATGAATGGTGACAAGGATTACATTCATATTACTTCGTACTATTTTTTGCATAAGCCACATTTGCTTTGTTACTTGTCGATCATATAAAATATTTACTGCAACATTATTTAATTTTATAATAGTTGGCAGACTTTTTCTGTTTTAGACAAATAAGAAGACACTATTAAACATAATTTTTTTTTTAAGCTGGCGATCGAAATAATATTTTTTTTATTGTAGGATTCAAAGTAAGAAGAAACAAATAGAAGGTTGCCACCTGTTCGAAGATACATGTATGAGTAAAAAACTGAAGAGAGAAAATGTTTACATTAAACAAAATTCTTCAGTGTTGCTGCTTTTTCAAAAACATATTGATAA